GAACACAGAATAGAATGCATATTTAGATGGGCAAATATTTGCAAATGAATAGAAAGATCATCAACAAAATTATTTGGGCATGTAATTTTGAAGGAAAAGTTGCAAGTACATCTGATTAAATGCACTGGGTGTATTACTACTTTCAGACCATAATGACTTGCTAATGGATTGATTACAAGTTTTTCGTATACCACAGCTGAAGACTAACAAAATACCCCATGCACAAAGAAACATCTTGGAAATGCCAGGGAGTGGCACCACTTCTGTTATTATGTCTCTGAAAAGCTCAATAATTGCAGTTCTTCCTGGAAAGAAACAAAATGAGCAGAACCAGAATTTTATTTGGAATGAAGTACAAAATGAGGTCTGGAAAACGCACCACACGGACTTCAGAAGACTCAGCTATTTGTCAAGGACAATACCCTCTTAAGTTTCACTGACTAGATCAGAATATAAAACATTTCAGGTCAAAAGAATGGAAATAAGTAAACGGAGGACTCTATTACAAGAACACCAAACCATGCAATAAAAGCAGCAAAACCAGCCAAAGGAGCAAGAGAGAAAGAGACCTGCAGTTGTTGGATCCGAGTCAGCCCACTAGACCCACCAGGGGATGACACCAAAGCTCTGCAAAGCACCTAGCTAAGGAGAAGTCCATTTCTTCACTAACAGTTTATCAGAGGAGAAAAAGAGGAGAATCAAAGATGGGCTTTGCTGGGCTCACATGTGAAAAATTTATCACATTCTATTCAAGGAATAAAAATAAAAACTATGAATTTAAAAACCCACCCTTTCTCAAAACCCCTACCTACTATAACCTTCCTACAATTCACAAAACTCACATACTTCAAAACTAGTAAAGGGCTCACATGTGAAAAATTTATCACATTCTATTCAAGGAATAAAAATAAAAACTATGCTTTAATCTCTGTTTTGAATTTTAAAACCCACCCTTCCTCAAAACCCCTACCTACTAGAACCTTCCTACAATTCACAAAACCGAGAGACTTCAAAACTAGTAAATAGGAGAGACAAAACTATGAAAATCCTCAAAAATTTACATCCCTAAATTCCATAAAGGAGAAGATACCAACATTAGCCTGGATCAAAAATTCTGCTTATCCTGGTACAAAGGCCACAATGCTTAACAGAACTACTCATCCTCCCTCTTTTAACATTTACTTTCCAGAGATTTTTTCTTTTGTTCCAGTGATAGGTTCTTAATATTTAGTCTGTGGCTGTGGACATTGTACATATCAAGGACCTCAAATAGACTAACAGAACAAACCCAGTACCTCCATTTTTTGTTTTCTTGGATTAATACATAACCCACCTCCTGTCTAACCGCAGTAGCCTGCAGTGGTGCAGGGGACAGCCATACAGGACAGTAAAGTAGATGAAATGTATGTTTGCTACTGGAAAAAATGAGTATTCCCCTCTTCCTGGCTTGACACTGCTGACCCCGTTCTGTGTACTTGCTCTGGCACTCATCTGACCACACAATAAGATAATTCAATTTGCTAATCCAAGGGAGGAAGGGGGGAAAAAAAAGAGCAAAACAAAAAGAAAAGAAAAGAAATAGTGTTCTCCTGGGTTAGTGGAGTGAATTAACTTCTCATGTACTTCGTAAACTACCAGAGTCACTGCAACAAAGCAGTGCAGCCATGCTGTACCAAACCCAAAGAGAAGGGAGTAACTGGGAATACTCCATGCAGAGCCATTAAGATAGGAGAACAACTAGTCAGCCTCTTCAATATCCACCCCACTCCCTTACTTCTCCCCCATAATCTAAGGGCCAGCAAGACACACTTCAATTTGAGAGCTGCAGCACTGAGTACATTCCCAAACACAGGTCTCCCCACCTGAAATCTAATTACACCAGCAATCTACTAAAATATAATTGTGGCTTTTATTTGAAACCTCTAGGACAAGCTGGTTTTGACATATGATAAAAAATTATATATACTGATTTTAAATAGAAGGGTTTTTTGAAGGTCAAACACAATTTTCATTTAAAAAGATCACTCTACTCACAAATGCATCTGTAGAATAAAAACCGCCTCCCAGCTTTTTGGTGGTATAGTCAGAGAAACTAAACTACAATACAGATTTAGGCATTTGCAATTTATTTTAGTATTTTTAATTATTTTAATGAATGTATAACTGTACAACCGACATACATGAAGTCGTTTAAACTCTCTTGCCACCCTTATTTGCATGCATTCTGTTACAGTTTAAGTCACCTAATCACATATTACTTTCCCCATGACACCTGCCCCATGTGATCCAAGGAAACACTAGCACTGAGCATTGAAGGAAGCTGCTTTCAGGAGAACAGTCCCTCGAAAATGCATGGATACATGCAAGGATCAATACCAGAACGGAAGGCATGCAGGCCTTTGGTGAGAGCACTACAAACCTAAGAGACAATGAAAGGTCCCTGCAGGCTCAATCAGCACAGTGAAGATGTGCACCTTAGAGGAGATACACACATCCAACCCCAGCTCCCAGCTAGCAGACTTGAAGCTCCATCCCTCAGTCACAAACAACTTCCTGTTCTCAATTTGCAGTCTCTTGGTCACAACAGAATTTTTACTCCATTGTGCATATTCTTCAAACAGGGAGAAGTGCCACTGTGTTCTTTTACAATCTCACAAGTGCTAGAAGCAGAGAGAATGACTTGTAGAAATTGCACTATATGCATGCATTCCATATCTGATGCCTCAGTTCAGAATTTTTCTAAAGGAAAACCAGAATTTCACAGCTTTTCTTTGCTTTCTAGCTAAAGTAAAAACAATCTGTTGTATCTCAGTTCCATTCTGCCTGCAAAGCTAAGAAAAGCAGTGCTAACATGGAAACTGTCCTGTTAGGAGAATCAAGGAGATACTATGGTATCAATATACATTAAATACCTTCTCCCTGCAATGCCAAGAACTGGAAATGGTACTGCAAAATCCACTTCTGCAACTTCTCATGCCTTGGGTTTCATTCCAGGCATTGGAGGAAGCTTCCAAGCTCTCACCGACAACTGAACATAGACTTTTGCAGTTCATTTTCATAACCTGGAGCTTTTCTGGCTTGTATGTTATCAACAGAATTTTAAAGAAATTTTGCTTGTCAAGTCCATTACAGCAGATGAAACTCAAGATAGAAATAACCCCTTGTTTTTTTCAAAAGTCAGATTAGATATGGGCAATAGTCATATGTCAAAACCACTCCCCAAACAATGCACTGTCATGCCAAAGTTTGGTAACAATTTATAAGCCAGAAGGTTTCTCTTCAAAAGAATTAAAGAAAGCATTTTAATCTGATCCATTCCAAATAACATCAAGATTCTTGAGTTTTTGACAAAATTCCTTGTATCCCCAGCTGCACTACTCTCTCTATTCAGCCAGCCTTCCAAACCTCCATCAGACAAAGGGAAAAAAAAAAGCCAACAAGAACAGAACATTTACATGAAGGTGAAAAAGCATTTTAAAAAGTGACAGTCAAAGACTGAAGGGAGATTCTTTGCAGTGCTTACGTTTAACTTTTCACCCGTTAAATAAAATTGAAAGCTGAAGAGCTTCCATATCAGTAGAGTTTAGCAAGACAGACTTCTCAGCATCTGGACAGAAAGCATTTCCCAGAGGAAATTAATCATAGGAAATCACAGCATATGTAATCATGTCTCTGTTCAGTTTACAAAAACTGTCCCATCCCACATATCATTTTGCAGATGCAAGCCCAAGGCCAAGAACGCTGTCACAAACCCCTGAATGGCATTCCAAAGGAGAAAAGATGATCATCGCAGTGCTAGAACAGGCTTTATTCTTTCAAAGTACTTAAATATTTTATGAGTACCTTTGCTTTCACAGGGAAGAAAATAATTTCCTCCAAGTGCAGATCAGTGGATGCTATCTGATCTCTTGTCACAACAACGCAATCCCCATGTACACACAACACATCAGCATACCATCTACATCTCTTTATTTCCCCCATCAAGCCGCGAGCACTGATGGGCTAATTGCGGGCTGATGCCGAAGAAGCGCTCCGGGCCCGGCAGGCAGGGCGGGCGGGCAGCGCTCGGCCGTGCCCGCCGGCTCCGGGCTCGGGGGGGCCCGGCGAGCGCCCCCGCCCCGCCCGCTTCCTCCGCTCGCCGCGACGCCGCTTTCGGCTCGAAAATCGCCATCGGGTTTTTGTTAGCGCAGTAACCCGTTCGTCCCCACGGCCCGGGCTGCTCCTCGCCACCGGGGACAAAAACCCTGATTTCATGTTTTTTTTCCCCGGGAAGCGCCTCGAAAAAGGAAAAGCTCACGCCATCGGGAGGGTATTTTCGGAAGCGGGGGACCTGACTCGTCGGGTGGAAATACGCAATACGAGAAAAGGCGAAACCGCAGATTTTCTCCATCACCCTTTCACAGAAGATATTATTTTAAGATGGGGTAAACGCCGCATCCCAGACGAAGGGCGTCGCTGATTTTTAAATCCAGAGAAACACGCTGCCTCCAGCCCCGGGGCAGCCAGTGAAAGAAGGTCACCCAAAAAAAAAATAAACCTCTGGAAGCGTCTCCGCTGGAACCGCGGAAATCCGCCCGCGGGCGGGAGGCTGCGCAGCCCCGGGGCCGGCCGGCTGGGTGGGTGTGCCGGGGCGCCCCGCGGGCGGACAGGGCCAGGGAGACGCGGGCAGCGGGACCCAGCAGCACCAAATGCCCGGTGTGGGATGCCGGCCGCGTCCCGCCTGCGGCGATGCCCGCTGGCACCGGCGATCGCCCCGCGCCGACGGGGGGAAAGGGAGGCGGGGGCGCGGAGTGAGCTACGGGCCCGACGGGGGAGGGGGAGCGGGCTGTGCCCACACCGTGCTGCCTCCCCCTCGGCCGGCCGCGGCCCGCCCGGGTCCCGGCGGGCGGCTACCTCCTGACACAATAGGCACCGGGCGGACCGCGGCCCCGCTCCCCGCCGCGGCTCCCGCCCGACCCGCAGCCCAGGGCGGCGGCGGCAGCATCATCATCCTCACTCACCCCTCCGAGGAGGCTCGCGCGCCGGGGAGGGGCCGTCGCTAGCGGGTGCTCAGCGAGCCGGCATCCCGCGGGATGCGGAGCGAGGGCGGAGCGCTCGGTGTCCCTCTGGCAACGGCCCCGGCGTTATTCCCTGCACATAGCGGCGGCTAACGGCACCGCGGCACCGCGCCGCACTGCGCACGCGCCGGGGCCCGACAATAGCGTTCCCCGGGCTGCGGGCGCTGCCCGCGCGGGCGATGGCGGGAGGTAAACGGCGCTTCCCGCCCCGATCCGCCCCGGCCGTGGCGGGACCGGCGCTGAGCCCGCTGCCGGCCCGTGGGCGTAGGCGGACGGGCTGTGCTGTGCGCAGGCGCGACTGCGGCCGCGATCCACAACAAAGGGGAGATGAGTTGCGGCGACCACCCTTTCCCGGTTGCCGGGGGTGGGCGGTGGGCGGGGACTCTGCCTCCGGCGGCGCGGTGCATGCCGGGACTTGTAGTCCTGGCGGCGACATTCCCGCCGTCGGGAAGCGCGACGGATTCCTGGCGTTGCTAGTCTCAGCTGCGGCGGCCGACGGCAACGGTCGGCCACCGGGAGCCGGAGGGATCCCCGCAGGTGGCTTCTCCGAGAGCCCAACGCGGGAAGGGAGAACGGGTGGAACTACTGTCCCCCAGCCCCGCCGCGGGCAGCCCCCGGTGCCGGGGGACAGCGCCGGCTGCTCCCCGGCAGCCAGCGGCGTCCTGATGCGGGCGCCCCGCGGGGAGCGCGCCCTGGAGGAGTCCCTGGAGCGGTACCAGAGGCGCCTCCGAGGTGAGCGGCACGGGCGCGGGGTGAGGGCGGGCCGCCCCCGCCGCCCGCCGGGTCTGCGGCTGCCCCCGCCCCGCGGAGCGCCCGGCCGGGCTGGGACGGGAGCAGCGGGGGAGCTGCGCCCACAGCCCATCGCAGGCGCCCGTCCCACCGAGACCCGGCTCGGGCAGGACCGCTGCTGCTTCGGGCGCGGTTTTGGCCATCCTGGAAGAGCGGATTCCAGTCGTGGTAAAAATGAGGGTACAAATGGGTTCCTATGAGAGTGGTTGTTTCCCCTCTCATCGAGTGTGTTCATACCTGCCGCTTTGCCCAAGAGGCGTGGGGTACAGCCCGGCAAAGAGCACCTGAATCTGTCAGCCTGGCCTTACGAGCCTTCAGACTGTCTCTGGCTGGGCAAAGTAAATGTGCGAATTCTGAAGAAAGCCACTGGGTAGTTTGTGGGAACGGGAGCCTACTGGTGCGGAAAGTTGTGTTCTTAGCACAGCACCCCCACATGGCCTGTTGGGATGTTTCCTGTGCCATAGGAAACAACATTGTTTTATCCTTGTTTCTTTCTTCTTTTTGGCAGTGGAAACACTTTCAAATAGCTACTTGATACTTGATTTCCAGCAAATATTTGTTTACTTCCTTCTCAAAGGAGCATCAGTTCCTTACATTAGTGATAGATTTCTTTTGTTCCACGAGATAGAGCTTTGAGGAATAATTTCTATTTACTTTTCCTGTAGATGAAATGAGCATGGTAATGCTACTTGACACTTGCAGTTAACCGTTATTGCAGAACAATTAGGATAACAAATATCAGGGCTGTTTAACTGTGTGTGAGACTGTTAGAGCTGACCATTTCTAATGCATACATTGGGTGCATGTATTCTCTTCATACAACTTATTTTCATTTTATCTTTTTCTGACTGGATTCCCTTACACTGGATCTGTTATATTTGCTAAATAATTTCATAATCTGAATTTCTGGTGAGCCTTTCCCCATTACATTCCTGGAAACAAGAATTTTCTTTTCATGCAATGCCAAGGTAGTTTTGATTTCATACATCTGGGGATGCTTCTCATGTCAATCAATTACTATGCTTCTCATGTCTCAAATCAATATGGTCATGCACAAACAGCCCCAATACAGGGCAATATAGCCTAAGTTCTATTGTGTTTCTCAAAGAACCTCTTTATTTCTCAGTGATGTACAATTTTTAACTCCTTTTAGCTGTACAGCATTTTCCACATCATTACTACCAGTGTTAGGAATTCACCGTAGGATAAACAGGTTATCATTACTCTCAAGGTTGCAAATCTAATGCTTTACCTACTTCTCTTATATAGTTATACAGCTGGAGATTTTTCTTCCCATTGGGATGACCCTGTCATTTGGGTTCAGCAATTTTAGGTGGCGTGCTTTGGGCATTATTTGGTGTGTTTGAAATACAGCTTTCATAACCTGCCTGTAATGCTTGACATTATCTGGATGCAGGCTGAGCTCATGGCAACAGGTTCTCACCACCCATGCTGGACACCAGAAGAATCACTTGACAGCCTTACTCAGTTTGATGGAAGGGTGCTTAAGTTCTCAAAGAGCAACTGATTATTTTTGGGCAGTTTCCTTTGTTGCAAAGGGAAATCCCTCAGAAGACAGGAAGCTTGAGTGTTCAGTAAACTGAGTCTGGTGGCCAGAGGGCAAAAAGCTGGGCCAAAAAAACCTGATGAAGACCTAACTGGTCTTAGAGCTCAACAGAGAGGCTTTGATAATAACAAAGGTTCTATAATGTAGCTTTTCCTGACCTTGTGTAATGGAAGTCTTTAATGCTATGTGTCATATTGAGTTAGGAGGGTGGTATTTGTACAGTTGGGGTTATTAGGTTACTGCATAAACTTTAAGGTTCATTTGAAATGGTCTCAATTATATTAAAAACTTTAGGAGATAGTATTTCTAATAAAAGATTCTTCTCAAGGGAGTAGAGGTATTTTGTAAATGAGAGTGAGTGGTGAGCTGCTGTATTCATATTAATAAGTGAAAATTGACAGGCATAATGTGAATGTCCAATGGGCCTTCTACTACACCACTGCTGAGAGGAGAGTGTGATACCTTCCTGTGACTTTCCCCTTTTCTACTAACAGCAGTAAATTGAGAAGACTATTTAGAGTCCAGTTCTTTGTTTCTAGCATATTTCTGGTTTCTTGAACAAAGAACTATTAGCTTATATTTTTGTGTTGAGTCTTCTGCCTCTTGAGTAAAGAGCACTGGCTCACTGTTGGACCTGGGACAGTATAAGAGCAGGAGAAAAGGAGGAGCAAACCATCCTTTTTAGGTACTGAGCCTGATACACTTGTGTGCCTCAAGTCTGTCTTGTGGAAATGACATTCTGTATTCCACTGCATTGCTGAGTGCAGTGTCCTACATAATTTCAGAGAATGGAGATGCAAACCCTAAGAGAAACAGATGACAAGATAAGTCTTTTCTGAATAAAGTTTCATTTTGTGGCTGTTTTATGTGGCTCCAAAAATAAACCAAGAGATATAGGAAGTCAAAGACATCTTAGGAAAAGTGAGTATGTGACCCAGTTTCCATCACTTCAACATAGCTGTCACACTGAAGCAGCTTAGAATTACATTTGTAATGGTTTTTTTGTCTAGGCTTTTTATTTTTATTTGGCAGGTGTGTCTAGGTATTATTTTGAACACAACATATTCTTTTAAAGGTGGCGAATCTGCCACAAGGAACTTGGCAATGAGGTTTTCACATGTGAGGGTTTCTAGAATTTAGGCAAATGCTTTATGCTCTGCAGAAAGAGCCACAGGTATAGGAACTTGTGACAATGACTGCTGCAGCTGTGCTTTTAAAGAACATAGCTTGGTAAAAGTAATGCTGAAAACTACCTATTTCTCATATAAAAAGAGAGCAAGAAACCAAATCAGAAGGATTTGTTATTTTGGAACAGCTGAGCATTTCACACACCTTGGGATCTTTTCAGGCCTGACTAATGATATTGCTCATTGCTGCATGTAAAATCCTAGCAGCACAGGTAGTGATGGATAGGATACTTTTAGGCTCAAAACTGCCATGTAGTGTGTTACTTCCACGCTAACGTACCTGTGTTTGGCAGCCAAGAAAAAAGAACAGCTGGATGTCAGAATGGGAAGCTCATTGCTGCATGTAAAATCCTAGCAGCACAGGTAGTGATGGATAGGATACTTTTAGGCTCAAAACTGCCATGTAGTGTGTTACTTCCACACTAACGTACCTGTGTTTGGCAGCCAAGAAAGAACAGCTGGATGTCAGAATGGGAAATATCCAAGGTGTGATAAACACAAAAACCCCTGTAACCATATCCTCAGTTTCAATAATTTTCAGTAGTTACTTGACTGAAAAGATATATGGTATAACATTTTAGATTTTTAGCTGTCAATGGAAGCAAATGTTGATCTAATTTTGGACAGGAAAGTTTTCTTTAAATGGCCATTGTCTTTTTGCTTTCACTAGTGTGTCTAATTGTCTCTTTTGTCAGTTACTGTTTCACAAAAATTCTACAGTGATTTGCTTTGGGTTTTTTTAAGACCTAAGGAATCAGTGTAATTCCTTCTCTAATTTTCTAAGGCTGTTTGCTTATTGGGAATATCAGCAGAGTGATCAGATATCAGCAAGTGATGCTGTTTGTTGAATTTATAGCCAGTAACTTCATGTTCCTGTAGACATTATTAGAACCGGACTGTTAGGTTTGGGTGACAGACTTATAACAACTTTTTCATAGATTTGCCATTTGTTTTCTTCAATTTATGCTGCTTAATGATTCTACCAGCTGGAGTTATTTTCCATGTCTTTCAGGCAATTCTGTTGTTTTGAATGATTTATTCTTTTGCTCCCAGAGTATTTTCTATGGCATTTCCGAGTTCATGAATGAGGTAGCTTTGGTGCTTTCATTTAAAGGAGTACTCTTTTTAAAGAGTTCTGTGCAGTGCCTGAGAAAACATCTCTTGTTTAGGCAATGCTAAACTGGTTCAATGCCTTCTGGGTTTTTTTCCTGTTTTGACTTCAATGGCAAATTGTTCTTACACTGATTTTTTTTTTTAATGTATTGAATTTGATCCATCAGATTTGGGTGCTAGCTTGTCATTTTTCATAATCATCTCAGATCCTTTGAACACTGAAAACCAAAGGGCTTAATAGTAAGTCGGGGGTTTTTTTGAAGTTTCAATCCACATGAGTCCAAATTCAATTATATCGTCAGCTGTTCCAATAGGAAATAGCACTTCAATGGTGTTTTAGCTAGAACAGGAATACGTGTTTGGATTTTATTTGTAGAGTCGTGTTAAGACATCGAAAAGACAGGTGCTGATTGATTTTGATATGCAAATTATAGTGCTGCATGTGAGCAGGTTTTGCAGTATATTTTCACTGAGGCC